AAATGGACTGGAATTTACGGTCCCGGACGGCGAGCATCGATCACGTCGACGAGTTAGCGACTCATTTGGCAGATGCGATTTGGTTGCCGCTAAGTAAACACAGCGACCACAACGCCAAAGCAAGGACAACCGACATTTGGGGAGTTATTGCGATATATTCCCGGAGTGGATCTGAACTGTATGCATGGAAGTCCAAATGGCCAAGGTGGTGTTGATAGTATAATTTGAGTCGTCGAGAAGCCCACTGGTTCTACGAAGGCATATCTTACTAATAATAAACGACTTTTGTGCCTTTATGCTGTAGCCTTCCAGTTAAGGTATTCTTAAAAAGGGAACGTTCCGTCACAGTTTTGATCGTAAGGGTAGTTAATTGTAAAAATTAACTTGAAATTGCTTCCCTCCTAAATGCAAACGGGATTGACATCACTTCTAAACTAGACTGAAATAAAGAACCGATGACCTTGTTGCAGTCCAGCTGGTATCTGATGCCGTTGTCACGATTTGCTTCCCTGAAAACACCATTTTTATTATATTTAAATCTGTTCATGCTGCTTCCATAAAATCTCACTCAAGCTTACAACTTATCTCATGACTTATGACTCATCATCATGACTTAATTTTTCCAGATGCTGACTGTCAGGAATGACAATGCAAGCAACCCGCTAGTTTATTCATACAACGCACATCTTCCTGCTGCGAAGACACCATGAAAACACTACGTCATGGAGCTGCAGCCACGTGTAATCATATTGTCAGCACCCAAATGGTCAAGCAAAAGTTTCTATTTCTTGCCTAGGCTGAGATTCGGTATGCCTAAGGTTAGCGTAAACGAGGCTCTCTTTGCCATCTGGTCAAGCACAGATGTAGACACGAAAAAATGGTCAAAGTCGATTGGCTGATCCCTGGTCGATCCCGTAAACCACCCCCCCCCCCCAAAAAAAAGAATTTCAGTAGGTAGCGTCAACCAAGATATACAGGCGAATTGCGGCGCAGTTCCGCCAAAAAAAAGAACGCATCGCGCAACGCACGTAATGCTCGGGCCGTCAGACCTTTCTTCAATTGCCGAGCTAGTCGACCGCGCGTCGTTTTTCTGCATGCATCGAACACGGCTTCCATTTGCGCCAGGCAGACAGGCCGGATTCGCTTAACTAATCACGTATCTACGGTGCCACAATCGTGGCAACGCCGATCCGCCAGATTTAGTGGCAACGCTCCCCGTGGCCCGCCGGCCGCCACGAGCGCCATCCGTTCTCCCTCCCGCGCGCGCCCAAAAAAACGGCACACGATAACCTGCGGGACACCTCATCCGTCTTCGGGCCGACAGGGGAATCACTGCACACCGAGCGCCCTTCGACGAGCGGCGAACACTGCGTGTGCATGTATCCCAGTCCGGTGCGGCGAGATGACACAATTGGCAGCGGTGGGAAGGTGGAACGGAAATTTGAGTTCGAATCCGGCTCATGTCTGAAGTATTTAGCTGACTATCGCGACAATCGATCTCGTGATGTCAGTACTCAGGTGCTTTTTACCGACATATGTCACATATCCACTGCTATTATCAACGCAAATTATCGTCGTGTTGATCATTAACGGTGACATGTTATGATCCTAAATGATTGCGACTACCGATAAGTCCAGCAGCCGGTGCCAGCTTCTTTCACGCTTGTTGTTATCCTCGTGTGGCCATGAGGTGCCATGGTGTGTGGCCATGTGGCCATGAGGTGTCGCGTTTCTTCTCTGCGTTCACGATCTCGTTCCGGCGGCTAGCCAGGTGCTTACCTTCTGGGATCTCAGCTTTCAACACAAGAAACGCTCACGTAACCTACATTTGACATTCGGATTCCGTTTGGCATTTAAAGGTTCCTTTTAAGCACGTGTCCGTGATAAAGGCGATCTCATCGCGTTATCCAGGTCTTGCGAACTTCCGGAATTGCAAAACAAATGTTGGGTAAATGATTGCCGGGAACCTAATAACGTGAAATGCAAGCAAAAGTTTCCGACAGCCAAAGGTAAGTGGGGGGAAAGACCTCTGCAATGGCAAGAAACCAGCCGTGGGAATGCAATCAAGACGATCGGCAAGAAATACAAAACAAGTTGAAAGTCAGTGTGAAATGCCTAATTCGATCATTTCCTTGGAGCACTTGTATGAGTCCCATGCCAAAGGCGATGTCGGGTCTACACCAACCGATCGACTCCGTTTGGATCTTGACGTTGTGCGCTGGAGATAGCGTCATCCCATTGCGGACGTCACCGAAGCATCGTGACGTTATCTGCATCGTCACCAACGTCACCCTGAGATACTCCTATCCATTGAATTTTTAATTGTAGGGTTATTGGTGTGGCGACGCCCAATGACACCAATGACGTCATCACTCTTCTGACATCATTGCGCAGTTGATTTAGTTGTTATCCCTAAAATTTAACCTTTGTAGTGTCGTCACAATGCGGCACAAGCAATGTCAGTGGACCAGCTTTGCAATTTTGGGAGGAAGCAGAATACCCAGCGGAACCTATGTCTCAACCAGTGCGTTGTGTTGTACGCCAGTTGACATCGTTTGACCAAGGTACAATATTATAAAATCTTGCGTTTTATAAGCCTAGTTGTTCCAACACTGAAATGCTACTGAAAAGTACACGTTTATCTTACTGTGGTCCCCAAAACCATGATGATGTTGTGAACTTTGTTGAACGCACAACACGTGTAAGTTACGACCTTCAAAGATAACCGCCTTGACCCCTGCTGCACTGCGGGCCGTCACGTGACCGCGCTGCGGGAACCGGACACCAGGTCAGCCACCGCCTCCATAGTTTGCCGCTGGAATGCCGCTCATTCCGTCCGCGCGGGGGCTTCCTCGAAGTTCCTCTTCACGGTCCGCCGCTGGCCGGCCCGCCCGCTCCGTATACACGTCCGGCAGCGGCGCCGACCGCGGCGAGTGCGGCAAGCGTTCGGTTCTGAAGCTGACTCAATGCCATGCCGAACGGTGCGTAGGGGGCACAACTATTTAATTGATGTGGCTGGGTGGCTCTCGTTTTCCATAGTTGCTTCCCAGTTCTTCTCGTTATGAATTTCGCTTCGCATTTGAACTTGGGGAATGTTATTCGCTTAGGCAACTAATATGCATACATACTTGTGGGGCAAAACCTGCATCAGATTAACCCGTTCAAAACAATATTCATCCCTTCAGCAACATGTTCACCTCTCACCAATGCATTGCCGTTTCCACTAAGCCTTTCCAACTTTCAACATTTCCCTTACGTTAGCCCATGCATGTGTGCGACACGTACCCTGCACATGTGCACTGCATGTACAATAGCACCTGTTTAACATCCGTCCCGAACGCGGCGTGTCGGTGCGGAGGACTTGCTCGACGCGGCGGCCCGACCGGCGGGGGACGTCTGCCGTGTCCCCCGACCACTTGTCCCCGTGCCGCCGAAAGTGGCGGCCGGGCCGTCCTGCCTCGGGTCGATCGGCGTTGTTAATTATGACGACACTGTCACCGCCGCGAACGCCTGCCGAAGCAGCGCTGCCTGTGGCCGCGGCGTCGCCCTGCCGCTCATCAACCGACGCCCGCGCATGTCCGAGCCACGTCTGTCTTTGGACGGCGCCGATTGGGGGCCGCAGGGGCGGTGCTTCGGAGAGACGGGGAGGTGGTGCCCCTCGCGGATGATGCAGCTGTCTGGCCGCCCGCAACCGTGGCATTCAATGGAAAGTCTGAACCTAGAATGGCGATGGCCGCCCACTCCCATCCATCACGTGACGGCGCGGGCCCCATGGCCCGGGAGCGCCGCTGCTAGAGGATGTACGCCGACATCGCGCGGTCACTTGTCTCGCTTCCACACCTCCGGGCGTCCAGTTGTCTGCGCCGGAGTGACGGTAGTGGCCCGCGAGTGACGTGCCCTGGAGTGAGTTGGCACGGCGGATGTCGGAAGTCCAGATGTGAAGTGTCAGAAATCCAAACGTCGAAGTTGGAAGCCCAAATGTCAGGCGTCGTGAGCCGGAACGCAGAGTGTCAGGCGTCTGGACGTCGAATGTTGAGTGAGAGCTCGGAGCGTTGTGGAAATTCCTACAATCCAAAACTTTCAGTGTTTGATATTGAAAGTCCAAACGTCCTAAGTAAGCGTATTCCGGTTATATGATGATAACAGCGCATCACAATCGAATCATTCATCGCAAAGCCCAGAAGCTTCTATTCCGAGAGAACCCAAAAGGCTGATGCTGGATGGATGGGCCGTGGTAAGTACTGTCGGAGAAACTCTGTAACAAACAATTTTTTTCGATGAGGAGATTAATGCAACATTACACCACATATGCCAGATCCTGTATCTCGAATCACCTTTCATCAGAGCCAGCTCCTAGATCTTGAAAGTTTTCCTCCAAATTTCCCGGTGGAACCGGCTACTTGAAGGCAGGTACTTTGCAAAGCTGCATGCCAGACTCTAATCACCCCAGACACCCACTCGGCGCTGAGTCACGTACCTCAACCGGTCGGTGCCCAAGATCTGAAACCTCATTCTTAACTGAGGATGCGTATTACTGAGGCAACGTTGACTCCAGTCCAACGACATTGAGCAGAAGCCATCCCGTCTTCCTAGCGTTCATCGTTTAACCTTAGCTCGTTCGCGAAACTCTTCGCGAAGCGCAAAGCATCTAGCAAAAGGCCAAACACCTAGCAAGACACGAAACACCTAGCAAAACGCGAAACACCTAACGAACTGCGGCACACCTAGTTCACCACCGTATCTCAATGTCCAGCGCCTTCCTCACAGCGCCTGGACCGCAGGGTCAGGGCTGAGTTAGGAGCGGGACTACTCACCGACGACGCTCAGCTCACCTGGACCGCAGGGTCAGGGCTGAGTGAGGAGCGGGACTACTCACCGACGACGCTCAGCTCACCTGGACCGCAGGGTCAGGGCTGAGTGAGGAGCGGGACTACTCACCGACGACGCTCAGCTCACCTGGACCGCAGGGTCAGGGCTGAGTGAGGAGCGGGACTACTCACCGACGACGCTCAGCTCAATGGGAAAGCTGGTGAGTGGCGTGGTCGGCAGCTGGCAGCCGTAGGTGCCGGCGTCCCTCGGCTGCACGTACTTGATCCTGAGCACCCACTCGTCGCTGTCCGGCTGAGGGAAACAGGAAACGAATACTGAGGCCTTCAGCAACAGGAAACGGAAGACCGAGGCCTTCAGCAACAGGAAACGGAAGAATGAGGCCTTCAGCATCAGGAAACGGAAGAATGGGGCCTTCAGCAATAGAGAATGAAAGACTGGGGTCTTCATCAGCAGGAAACGGAAGACTCAGGCCTTCAGCATCAGAAAACGGAAGACTGAGGTCTTCAACAATGAAGAGCGGAAGACTGGGGTCTTCCGTTATCGCTTGACACTGCCCGGCTTTCGACAACAGGAGGCGGATGACTGAAGTGGGTACATGAACTATAATTTTGAACTCGATACAGCAGCGCACGGCTCACTGACATAATGAATAGATCGATTTTGCACCAGATTTTGCAGCATATGCACTCAACTTGCAGTATACATGACAAAGTATTTGGCAAAATTATCCGAATCCTGTAGCAGGTATGGAACACCCAAGTACGGTGAACTCGATGAAGTTGCCAGAAGGGTACACCCAGGATAAGAAAAAGGGTCCATAAGTTCTCAACCTGACGACGAAATACATTCCCCTCTTTTGGCTGTGTTTTTAGGGACCTGGTATGCTTCACTTAAGACTTGCTAGAGTTGTGTGACTTCGTCCAATATCTGTCGCACGATTCGCGCATGTTCAACCGGTCATGACGACGATTTCGACCTCCTTTTGTGCACGTATTTGGTGGGCTAAGATCTACAACATCGACATTTTACGTGGCTGCATTCTCGTTTTCAAGTGAGTTAGAAAAACGGAGATATTTCGGAATGGGAATGACGTCAAGATTTCATCGCGCACAGCTGTAGGAGCTTCAGCAAGCGATTTTCAGGTGTATCCTCTTCGAAATGCCTCGATGATGCATTGGATGCCGAAGGGTAAGCACAACTCTACTGCGGCGATGATACAGTGCGCTTCCACACTGCTTAGAAGGTGACTTGAGCGAGATCGTTAGAATCGGCTTATCACTACCTGCCTACTGATGGCAGACAGCACAGGACTTTTCAGGGTCTTCAGCAACCCTTATCGTTTCTCTGCTTTGACCAACAGGGAGGAGGGCACCAGGGTCGTCGGTGACTGTTCATCAGTAAGGGACTGAGGTTTCCAGCACACACCCGTCACTGCCCATATGTGGCAGACAGGGAATAATGGACTGATATCTACCCAGGGCCGTCACTGGAGAATATCCAAACCTAGCCGTTGATCGGGAACGCACTTCGCGCATTGACAATAGACGCGTTTGTTGAATTGCCACAGCCGTGGCGATTCGCTGTACAAACTGACACCTATTTCCACGAACTGTGCCGGCGTAAGCCACAGAAGCGCTCCACCCAAATCGACGTCAAGGCCACATCGGGGACGGCAGTCTTCGCTGGCTTTGCCGCAGCTTGAGGTGGATTTTGGATTTGCAGCAGCGAAAATAGCACCGGCTCCTGACAGGCACGGTCACGTGTTTTGTATCCGCCCGAAGGCTGTCGCTCACAGGTGCTGGGGTGCGCTGGAGCCTGATGTGTCGATCGTTTGGCGTTTGTGGACTGTGACGAGTACAGTGCGACCCCACGCCCTGACGTGCGACCTTTGGTCGCGGTTGGGGATATGTGTCCGTGAACTATGACCCTTGGTTTTGTCATTTGTACGTGGGCATGGAATTTATGGCTGCGGACAGTGTCCATGGCGTGGAGTGAAGAGACATTCAATACACAACAGCGAAACAGGCTGATTAAGATTGGAATCGTTTACCTTTGAACAAGGCGCACTTGCTGTGAATAGTATCGTAACGTCCACCGTCCATGTTGCAAATATTAGTGACGCACTCGTCTCCGACGGTTTCGGTGTGGTGTGACGTTTCCGAGCCACACCACACCGCAGCTGTCCAACTATGTTAGCGGTGTTTTCACCAACGAGAACACTCAAACAGACTAACCTATTGACTTTAAATCTCTCGCTGGTGCGACACAGACGGAGAAATAATTTGGCTCACCCAAACAATCAGATTGCAAAACTTCATCTGCGACAAGGTCAAAAGAAGCAGATTAGTTTGTTCAGTCTGACGAAGTGTCTTTTCACTCGGTGATTTGTTCACGTCTGACGATGCCAACCGAGTTCAGACGCTAAGAGCTTGTCGTTTGATGAACGGCCTCGTCATAGGGATGGATGGGAAGCATCACGACCACTGAGCTTTGTTCGATTTCATACGGGCCTGTTTCCGAGCCGCACCACAGCCATCGCTGTCTCCAATAACAACAAACATACGTCATCTTCACCTAAAAGGGAGAAAGGTCCTGAGCAGATGACCATCGGCTGAACAGCATTAGCCCGGCATTTTTTCGTCTCAAATGTGCAGTTATCACGCCCAAAATCCTGCTTCCTGCTCACATATACGATACGAGGCGTCATCCAAGCGATTAACCACCTTTGAAGATGGGCCAAATATTATATTTATATATGATATGTGTCATAGCATGCATTTCATTTGAATGCAATATCTAGTTATTATACGGTTGTAACAGATGCTGTTCTCGCAATCCTGCTCTCCAGGGTAATTCTAGCCAGGGAACCAAAGCACCACCGACAGTATTTGTCGACGTCAGGATCTTGCAGGCGTTACGTAATTCACTCAAAATGTGTTGATTATGGAACACATTTTCCTGCTTTAGATGTCATCAGTCGATGACGTTCTCAACGAATATGAACCTAACGTTAGGCCTCTTGTCAGAAAGGTCAAAAGCTGACGTGAAAGACTTCTTAACGGAGAACAAGCTGTTGTATATATTTATATACACACATATACACTACACACTATATACACATGCATGCATATATATATATATATATATATATATATGTATACAAACATACACATATATAGATATACTTTATATATATATATATATATATATATATATATATATGTAAGGGATATATCATATACTTTTCCGTGCGTGCGCTGATTCCCGAAAAACCGAATCAAAGGTTTGGGCTATGATCTTCAAAAAATGACGCCTGATATCTCCTTTTAGATTTCCCTTCTGAAATGTTGAAGACGAATGATCATTTTTAACATACGACATCGACATATCCCACCGTTCGTTTGTGATTCGTTGAGTGCGCTTCCTGTAGTCAATAGCAACAAATAATTAATACAAATGCATTACAAACATAACCTTAAATACATGGATGGTTTTCCAGCAATGACAGAACGCAGCGGAGAGTAAGGCATTGCACCACAGACGACAGGCCATTGGAGACGACCCACGCGGAGGGGGGGGGGGGGGGGCACTGAAATAGCTGAAGGAGTTTCTGTTGCGCGCTCGCCGCTGGGCTGCAGGTGGCAGCTGCTTGCATGGCCTGACCTGCACGCAGCCTCGGGCGAGCGGCGCGGAAATGGCACCGTCACGCTACTGGCCTGACCTGACACGAGTCGTTACGCCACTGACAGTCGGGACAGTGTGGACCGAGGCGTGTCGTTTGTCTGCCGCCTTGCGCTGTGAACGTGTAGCAACGCCCCTGTCCCTGGGCTCTCTAGCACTGCAAGCATTCCTGAGTCGAACGCCGGGGCCGAGCTCCAATTGAAACGAGCCGTGACCGGAAACCCACCCAAAGCCTACAATGCTGGCTGCAAAGCGTATCTCACGCCTGAGCAGCGTTCCGACGCGGTCCTCAGGATTCAGCTGGGTTCGTATTTACCTAAAAAAAAGTACATGACTGAAACAATTCGCGAAGATTTGGCGCTGTGAGATGTGTAGGCACCAGAAACAGAAACAGATGGTTCCAGAAGGCAGAGCTACAAAGAATGGCACTCTCAGAAAAGGGTAATTTCATAAAGGCATATTTTATCTAAATATAAGAGCTTTTAGACGACAGACATCCCGAGAAAACCCACGCCCCCTGAAGGTAAACATTCCGAAAGTACAAACATTTCCTTAGAACAAACGTACCCTGAGGACAGGCGTCCCCGGAGAGAGCACGTCCTAGGAGGTCATACGTGCTCGGAGGAAGCACGTCCCTGGGGGAAAGACGTCGCCGGAGGACATACGTTCCAAGAGGACGTACGTCCGCTGAGGACAGACGCCTCCTGAGAACAGGCGTCCCCGAGGGCATGAGTCCCTAGAGAACGCACGCCCCTGAGGACATTGTCCTCGGAGGACATACGTCCCCGGGAGGCGCACGTCCCGCGTGGGTGAGATTGCGCGCCAGCAACGTCAACGGCGTCGGCAGCCGCGGGGAGGCGTCAATACGGCCGATCGGCGGTCAGCGGCTCCCAACGGACGTCAATGCAGCTCATCGGCGATCGACGAAAGCTGACAGCCGCTTGCCGCCCCCAATGGCCGGTCGGTCACGACCACGAACCACGCCCGTGACCTGTTGGCGGCCAAGGCTGATGACCGTGAGTTGGTTCCGGCTTCGGCCTTAGCCCGTGAGACGGCCATGATCGCTGGCTGCGCGCATGTTCGGTCACTAGCCACGTCTGAGACCCAAAACGCTCAGGGAGTCCGTCATGGTCATGTGTCGCGGCTGCAAGCTGGCCGGGTCTTGCTCGCAGCTGAGGCGGCCCGCGAGCCCTGGATCCCAAGCTCGAGAGATCGTCTGAGCCGTAAATCTTAGCCAAGAGCGGTCTGATAAGCCAGTTGTAAGCCATTGGTTGTTTTGGACAGGAAACAACAACCATGACATTGTCTGAGCGGAAATATATGGGCGTGGCGTGCAGTCCAAACAGTCACTCTGTTTATTGTTTGGTCTCGACCGTAGGTAAAGACCATGGATTTATTGAGCAGCATTCACCATTACTGCAAGTTGCCATGGTTGCATGTCTTTGCCATCGGCAGCTCCTGACCATGCTTCACGCTTGCAAAACAGTGACAACCTTACGCCACTTTCTTTGGGCAGCCCTTCGCCGCAACGTCAGCGGCATTTCACGGTAATTCGTACGCCATTACCAGCCAGCGAGGAGCGCTGGCTAAAGCTTCCACCGGGGCAGCGA